CTCAGGCTCTATTTTGAATGCTTGACAGTATTTAAAGTTTATTTTGGGTGTAATGTCTACACCCAACATGAAGCTCAAACTCATGACCCTAAGATCAAGAATCCCATGCTCTTTCCCTTTTAAAAAAAATATTTTTTCAAGTTTATTTACTTATTTTGAGAGAGAGAGAGGAAGAGAACAAGCACAAGCCAGGAAGAGGCAGAGAGAGGGAGAGAGAATCCCAAAGAGGCTCAACGCTGTTGGCGCAGAGCCCAACTTAGGCCTCAAACTCACAAAGCATGAGATCATGACCTGAGCCGAAATCAAGAGTTGGACACTTAACTGACTGAGCTACCTTTGTGCCCAAGAGTCCCATGCTCTTCTGACTGAGCCAGCCAGGTGCCCTGTTTGATGATATTTAATTTCCAGTGGAGTCTTCTGTTTTCTTGTGCTTCATAGTTGGTTTTTTGTGGGGACTTGTATTTTCATTCAGTGAAGTGTCTAGAGTTTCATTTTCTGTTTTCATCTTACTATAGTTTCCGTAGATGAAGATATGTCACATCTTTGTATTTGGTGGACTGAGTGGCAGTTTTGGGTAGTTTACAAATTCTTAGTTAAAAACCACTCACTTTTTGGGAGACAGGTAAGAGAGAAAGCTTAGGAAATGTCTTTGCTGGAAATTGAAGTTTGTATTGTTCTATTTCTTCTAGTAACTTTGAAGTTGTGAAGTTTGTGTGGTTTTATTCTTGTCATTGATTTATTTAGTTAGGGAGGATGGTTAGGAGATTTCAGTGTATGCAGTCACCATTACCTCAGCTTCCCGGAAGTCTGTTTTGTTTGCTTTTTGTTGCGAGTATCCTCAATCTAGATTGCATGCTGCATTCAAACAAGAACCATCTTTGTTTATTCTCTGCTTTATCTCTATTTCTAGTACATAGAAGATGCTTAGTAAATAATTGTTAAATAGCTCTTCTTCAAAATTTGTGTGTGTGTGTGTGTGTGTGTGTGTGTGTGTGTGTGTCTGTTGCCCCTTTTTTTCTGTTGAAATACTAGTTCTTGTTTTGATGATTTATATATGTCTTGTTACATATGAAGGTTGATGATCTAATAGGGCAGTATATCTTACTTATATCAGCTTAAGATGTGAATCAGATATCCAAGACAATTTTCCTGTAACTTTTATTTAGATTAAAAATGCAGGATTTAAACTGTTAGAAAATGAACCTGATCTGGTCCCATTTATAATGGTAATAATTGTATAATTTTTTTTAATGTTTATTTATTTTTGAGAGAGAGGGAGAGAAAGAGTGTGAGCAGGGGAGGGACAGAGAGAGAGAGGGAGACACATAATCTGGAGCAGGCTCCAGGCTCTGAGCTGTCAGCACAGAGCCCAGCGTGGGGCTTGAACCCATGAGCTGTGAGATCATGACCTGAGATGCAAGTCAGATGCCTAACTGACTGTGTCACCCAGGAGCCTCTGTAAAAAAATTTTTTTAATCACTCTAGTGTTTAGGCTCTATATCTAACACAGAGAGTGACCTTCTACCCATTAAGATTTTATACTTTTTTTTTTTTAATATTTATTTATTGCTAAGGGAGAGAGAAAGAGGGAGAGAGAGAAAACCTCAAGCACTGTCAGCACCGAACCCAACATGGGGTTCAAACTCACCAACCATGAGATCATAACCTGAGCTGAAATCAAGGACCGGATGCTTAACCATCTGAGCCACCCAGACACCCCTTTATACTTTGAATTATTGCCCTTTAAAACATTCGAAGGGCCTCCATTGCTTTATCAGGACCGAACCAGGTCTGGATGCCCCTGGCACATGGTTACCTGTCAGGGAAGGAGAAGAGGAAATTAGTAGCACACAAGTGGTTATAAGTAGAAGAATAAATTAGGAGTGAGAATAAACGGCAAGAAGAGGCTTGGAAAACATGGACATAAGGTGGACTACTGGGAAGTGCCCACAAACCAGGGCTCCAGTTGCCTTGTGTTGGCCCATGTGCACAGCGTTGGCCATTCTTGCTCTAGGATTATATTCTCTGCTTCAGAATAGACCAGCACTGTCAGCACTGTATTGGATCCCTTTTGTTACCTGCCTACTAAAATTCCTCCAATCAGAGAAATGGTTGAGAGTATGAATCTCTGTCTAGAGAGAACAATGCAATTTTAATAGCTGAGGAAATTTGGTGTTTTGCATGCTTCCATTGAAAATGTTTGGATGTTTCATTGATTGGCAAGGAGAACAAAGAAGGCTTTCATTTTAAGGAAGGCTTTAGAGGGCATAATGGGTGGTGCCTGGTGAAGTGGGTGTTTTCTAGTAAATGACATTTGGTCTATTTTTATAGTTGGAAACATTCTACTCTTAAGCTTATTGTTTAAGCAAGCAAGAGAGCATACTGTGCAATCATGAGTGGAATTTTTACACTTGATCCCAGGCTCTTTTTTCTCCCTCATAGTTTGGAGCCTCCATGAATGTGCCTATGAATTTATAAGTATTTTATTGGTTTCAGATCCTGCTCTCAGTTTACTTATCTTCTCTTTGTGGATTATTCAAAGGAAAAAGATTAGAAACATACTGGGAAATACCTAACAGTAAATGCTTTTTTTTTTTAACTTTTTTTTTTAATGTTTGTTTATTTTTGAGAGAGAGACAGAGCATGAGCAGGGGAGGGGCAGAGAGACAGGGAGACACAGAATCTGAAGCAGACTCAGGCTCTGAGCTGTCGGCACAGAGCCCAACGTCGGGCTCCAACCACAAACCGTGAGATCATGACCTGAGCCAAAGTCGGACACTTAACCAACTGAGCCACCCAGGTGCCGCTCATCAGTAAATGCTTTAATATTAGATTGAGGTTTCTTAAATTCTTCATTTATAACTCATTTGAGCTGCTGTATTACTTTATTATATTTTCCCAGGTTCTTGCAGCTCCTCTGTGACATTCTTGCTTAGGCCTTTCTCTTAGTTATTTCTGTCAGAGCAAGTGAACATTTATGTTCAGAATCCTAGATCAGGATTACTTTCTTCTGTGTATTCAAGCCAAATTCCCAGTTATTTTTCTCAAAAGTTGAATTTTTACAGGTATTTTAAGGGAAGTAAATATAAAAAGTAAAAATACCCATAATCCTAACAACTGCAACCATTTCCTATTATGTACAGTAATTTCCAGTGCTTGTCCTCATGCATACCAATTTTTGTCTATTTGCACTCTGCTGCTTGGTATTGTTTTTTTCATTTAACATTTACCGGATTCTTTCAAAAATTAAAAAAAAAAGTGTTCTACCACCCTTTAGACTTGCTGTAATTTTTTTAGAGATTTACACTTAAATGATGCATTAACACTTGAAACATGTTTTCTCGGGCTGATTCATATTGTATTATTAACACCAAAATTTTGTCTTTATTCCATATAATTTATATATGTAAATATAATTTGTGTCAATCACTTAATTCTTCTCAGATGTAAAAGTGAGCTTTCCTGGGGGCACCTGGGTGGCTCAGTTGGTTAAGCGTCAGACTTCAGCTCAGGTAGTGATCCCATAGTTTGTGGAATCGAGCCCTGTGTTGGGCTCTGTGCTGAAAGCTCAGAGCCTGGAGCTTGCTTCAGATTCTGTATCTCCCTCTCTCTCTATCCCTCTCCTGCTTATGCTCTGTCTCTGTCTCTCAAAAATAAATAAACTTTTAAAAAATTTAAGGGGCGCCTGGGTGGCTCACTTGGTTAAGTGTTCGACTTTGGCTCAGGTCACGATCTCACAGTCCATGGATTCAAGCCCTGCTCTGTGCTGACAGCTCACAGACTGGAGCCTGCTTTGGATTCTGTGTCTTTCTCTCCCTCCCCCTCTTTCTCTGTCTCTCTCTGTCTCTCTCTCTCTCTCTCTCTCTCTCTCTCTCCCCTGCTTGTGTTCTCTTTCTCAAAAATAAATTACATTTGAAAAATTTAAAAAGTAAGGTTTCCTGGGGTACCTAGGTGGCTTAGTCAGTTAAGCTTTCCAACTCTTGATCTCTGGGTTGTGAATTGAAGTCCTGTGTTGGACATCATGCTGAGTGTGGAACCTACTTTAAAAAAAAAAAAAAAATGAGCTTTCCAGAAAGAATATATAACTTTCTATGAATTGCTTATCTGAATAGCTTATTTAAAGTGTAATAGTCTGTTTTCTGCTGTTTTTCTCATTTAGAATTTTTAACCAAATTTAAGTCTCTAGCTCACTATATCCTTTTGTTTTTTAGAGTCACTTATTATATTTGTTATGCTTAGGAACATTTTTAGAGCAGTAATAACTTCTGATTTTTAAGTATGCTGGACTTCATTCTGTTTTTTAAAAAAAATTTTGTCATGTACCTTTACTTCCCTTTTGTCGTTTTCTCTTCTTTCCATGATTTGCAGTATATTGGAATGTCAGCTTTCTAATTCCCTCGTATGTATACTTATTACACGTCTTAACTATAGTTTTTAGCCCTTGAGCTGTTTGCTCTGCCACCTCGATCCATTTGATAGGCAAAACAAAGAATAATGAACATGCTCAAAGGTTCCTAACACCACATTTTAGAAAGTTGTTGTCTTCCCACAATCTTTCTCAGGAATTGCCAATGAGGAGAAAAAAATTTGTCTTTTTCTCTGTTTGCTTTCACCTGAGTGTGTTCGCAATTGTGCAATAAGAAGAATGGGCAGGCAGAAATTGACATGAGATGTAGCTAATCCACAAAATGGGTCTTTAATCCTATCTAAGTATTTGAAGTGCCTGAAGGGTTGCCTAGCACAAAGTAAGCAATCAGCAAGTTTTTGTCGGGTGGATGGTTGGATGGATTCATGAACAAGCCTGTCCATAAAACGCATGGATTTCTCAGATGGCAAAATTCTAAAAATCTCTTTAAATGGTACTACCTTGAGATTCAGAAACTCATCCTCCTACTCGTCCACGTGCATTAACTACCAGAATATTAGTAATAACAAAAGTTATATTGCTTTCTAAGTCATGAACTGACCTGTGTATATATATCACACTTTTGTTTCTAAAGGAAGTAGAAATTCGGAACAAAGACCTGGAGGGACAGCTGTCTGACTTAGAGCAACGTCTGGAGAAAAGTCAGAATGAACAAGAAGCTTTTCGCAATAACCTGAAGACACTCTTAGAAATTCTTGATGGAAAAATATTTGAACTAACAGAGTTACGAGATAACTTGGCCAAGCTACTAGAATGCAGCTAAGAAAAGTTAAATTTCAGTGCCAATTGATTAAAAAATACACTGTCTCTCTTCATAGGACTGTTTGGGCTCTGCATCAAGATCGCACAAAAAAATTGAATATCATTCCTCCTCCAGGAGGATGATCTTTTGAAAATTGGAATTGTATATTTCAGTGTAAATTTTAGAATTCAGCTTGTAGCTAGTTGGGGAAAAAAAAAGAGATGAAAACTTGAACTACAAATTACCTCCATGTATATTATTGGCCATAGTTAACTAGAAAGTTATAAATAGACACTTAATGCAATCTTTTTTTTCTGATATTAGCCAATGGGAGAATTAACAATGTCTGGGTCACATCCCCTTTTTGTGTTCAACACAGTGAAGGTTATCTGCTTCTTAAATTAATTTATTTATGATATCTAAAGCTGTGTTTTGTGCAAAAATTTAGTGATGAAAGCCCTGTCTTCTGTTGTAATCTGAATAATTTCTCAGGATATTTTTGCACTGCTAAGAAGCAGTGCCATTACCAATTAATTCTTGCCAGGAGTGAGAGAGAGCTGTATCTTTAATTGAAACATACTTAACTAGAACTGGGTGTATAGAGTTCTTCCCTTTTTTTATACTGGAAGATATTTCACTCGGTGACCACTCTGGTACACTCTGGTGTTCTTTAATCTTGTCTGCTGTATAGTTTACTTTTCCACATTGATTCCATGTATTTATGAGAAGATATTGTCTCCCATTTTATTACACATTTTAAAGCCAACTAACGAAGGCAGCTGAGTCCCTCAGAAATTTTTCTTTTTAAATTTCTAATAAATTTGACACACAGTACTGAAATACAGCAGCCCGTCATTGACGGTCTGGTCTAGCAATGTTAAGTATATTTACAGAATATGCAGTTACATTTATTTATATATTTTGCAAGAAATCTTTTCTGAATGATCAATGCATTTCAATTTACAAATAATAATGGTTACTGGGGAACTGTTTATTATAGATCATTTTAAGGTGTATAGCAATTTTAAAGGGGATCCGTTTCCATCAAACAGCCAATCAGAGGACTGTGGGGGTTGGAGCCGTGTACTCTGTCTGGGTCTTCACATCAACCACATCTCTAGTCAAACCTCACAAGGCAATATTCTGAACTGTTAACTAGGCATTTCAAAACAAGAATTCAACAGGCTCTTCTCAATGAACAAGTTTTAATGTTGTTTTGATGTAATTTTAAAAGACTTTTAGCAAACATGCATTTCTTTCTATATTTCTTTGAAGAAGCTATTTTAAAAGTGAGCCAAGTGCTGTCTAGTCTGCTTATGGAATTAGGAATGCATCAGAGTCCATATATCTTTGCTGTACAATGCCTGTGATGTTGAGGAGGGTTCTTTTTTAAAGTGTATGCTTGAGTATCTGACTCTGTGGAGTCTACGAATGCACTGACTTTGTTTGTACCCCAAAACAATTGAATTGTTAAGTACAAAATTAAGCTAATTAATCGATTTGTAACCATTTTTTCACTCACAAGCAGCAACGCAACACTAGACAATTTTGTTTTATATATGTATGTGTATGTATGTAAATACATACATATTAATTTATATTAGAGTGAAAAATAAATGGTTTGTTTCTAAAGTTAGTTTCTAAAGTGAGTTTTCAGGTGTCTCTGAACAGTTTATATCAGACACTTAATCATCATGTATTATATGTGCTATAACATCATGTAAGTTACCTCCATCTATTTTAGGATATTTTCCTCACCTGTTTATTATAGGGAGGATGATTTAGGTACACAAGCTCAGAGCTGAGATATTTCTCTGATAAATCAGGTAATAAAATTATTTGATTGATGGAATTTTGAAGTAGATGTGATTTTATCCATCAGTTTCTGAGTAATAAAGAGCACCAGATTTTAATTTAAATAGGGGATTTAACACTAGGGATCAGGGAATTTAGTTATGAAGAGTTAAAAATTAAAAAAAAACAGTATAAGCTATTGAAATGGTAAGTGAATTATTTTAATGATGTAATAAGATATTTTTAAATTTTGACATAGTTGTCATTTAATGGGAAAATAACTCACCAAAATGTCTCCACTTGAATTGTACTGATATGTGAGACATGTGTGTAATTCAATATATACATATACCCATATGTATATACAGAAAATTATTTTTAATATTTTCCTACTGATAAGAAATTTAAAATTGGAAATTTTGTGAGTTTTTTCCTTGTCCAATAAGGCCTAATTTTTTTTTCTTTTTTTAGGGATTTAACAACTTGAGGGCTGCACCTTTAAATTCCCAGAATGTCTTTAGACGTGTACAGTATATGGGATAAGGTGGACACAAGTGCACATATAAATAAAATCTTCTTAGACTGTTTTCAGTATTCATTTACAGTAGGAGAGTATCTAGAAATCGTCATCTACAAGTCATAATTAGGTTGTGTGCCTACTGTAGTTTTCTCCATTTCTGTATTATAGAAATAAAAGTTTGCATATTAAAATTTGATTTTTCCCAGAGACAAGTATTCTATGATGTATCTATATTTAGATCAAACTGTGGTAATATATTTATCAGAAAATGATGCTGGGGACTGTAGCCTGAACATGGACTTGAAGTGACACAGAAAAGGAGAGCAGAGATCGATCCCATTGTGTATAAGTTACTATATGATAATTATGAATTCTTGTACAAAAAACAACTGAAAAAAAAAGGAAAAACAAAAATACAGTTTTTATTTTGAAATACATTTGTTGTTCTCTGGAGAATGTACTTTATCTTCTTTTTCCTTCAGTCTTTTACAGATACTTTTTAAAAGGCATTTAAGCGATGGCAGCATTTGCTCAACTCCTACAGGTGCTACTGGATTTCACATTTAGTGTGTTATGTTGTGAAATCCTAACTTTGACATAAACGGTTTTATGAGTATCTCCCTGCCTGGAAAATTAGTTTTTGTTTCTCCTCTCTCTCCTTCTCTCCCTCTTTGTCTCTCGCTCCTTCTCTCGCGCTCTTCTCCCCCTTTCTTTCTGCAGATTAAAAAAAGTTCATGAAGTTACATCCGTCCTTGTCCTCACAGAAGAGCTTCAGCCCTGTCATGGATTTCATGTTTTGCTCTCATTTAACTGCTGGGAAGCAATTAGAGGAAAAGCTTGCAGGTTTTTTTTCAAGTGGAAATAAAAGGGACACTCGAAATTAAACTACCACCTTTTAAAGCTCCTTTTCTGCCCTGTTAAAATTAAATGTATTCTCTCACGTGTGCTCTGGCCTTCCATGTTTGTGTTTAACTGTGGAGTGAGCATCTCAGCTGCTCTCTCCCTGCAGACCTGGTTTTCTGTCTGTTCTGGAAGGGACACTGGCCAGAGACAAAACTTGTTTCGTGGCAGTGTTTTGTTTTTTAAGAAATTGTGTCGTTTATTGGGTATCAAATGATTTTACCCTTCCCGATAAGCTGTGCGTGAAGTCCTGGAATAGTCTTCATTGAATTTTTGTCTTCTTCATGTTTAGCTCTGTTTCCTTATCATTCATAAGGTAAATTAATTTATATGAAATCTTGAGGAAGCTTTCAGGTAAGAAGTAGTTCAGAATGACATGTTTAAAAAAATTTTTTTTCTCAAGTAGGATGCTGTACTATAGTAAGTATTGGTTAAGAAGATAATTTTCAAATGAGAGAATATTTTTTAAACTACTAGAAAAGGATAATTTTAGAATGGAAGCAGGTGAATCATTCACCCTACTTTAGATTGTGAAATACATTTTTTCCAACCTAAAATTGGACCTTACATTTTGACAACAGTTTTTCTTTATGGGAAATTGATATGTACATGTCACAGAAATGTAAGCATCATTATTGAATTAAAGAAATGGTTTGTTGTTCATATATTACCTAGTAAAATAGCTAACAATTTTATCCAAGAAAAAAACCTCAAAACTCAAATCAGCACTGCACTGCCTAGTGATTTCTGCTTCACTAGATAGAAAAGAAACATTTGAAGTTATTTTTACCCAAAACAGGTGACCCAGGTAGAGAAATTGCATCTGTACTAGAATAGGGAAAAGGCCACAAGCTCCCAGTTTATTTCTGGTCAATTCTCTGATCTCATTAAGGTCCCTTCTATCCTTTGGATGAAAGAACACATTCCAGCAGGTGGTAGGAGCTTATCTGGAGGAGGAGAGGATATTTTTTGAGAAAGCAGGGCCAGCAAAGAGTGGGAGCACGCTGCCCTCAGTCTTTATCTATCTAAGGCAGGTCAGGCTAGCCAGAGACATTGTCGTTTTTCACTAAACAAGTTGGGGTTGCCTTAATGAATTTTAAGGGCTTTCAGAAGATCCTGTCATTTGTATTGTCAGCATTTATAACCTAACAGAAGACACCTCTCATTCAGAACTCACCATTCTGTGAATTCTGACCAACTTTTGCCAATTATTTTCACATCAGGGGCGCCCGGGTGGCTCAGTCGGTTGAGTGTCCGACTTCGGCCCAGGTCATGATCTCACAGTTCGTGAGTTCGAGCCCCACGTCGGGCTCTGTGCTGACAGCTCAGAGCCTGGAGCCTGCTTCAGATTCTGTGTCTCCCTCTCTCTCTGCCCCATCCCCACTCATGCTTTGTCTCTCTCTGTCTTAAAAATAAATAAAACATTTAAAAAAAATTTTTTTAATTCTTTTCGCATCAGATCTACCCAGGGATAGAAATAGTACTCTGCTTTCTCCTAGTAACACCAAATTAAGATGATAATGAGTACCTAATAGATGCAAAATTAAGCCCATTTCTGTACCACAGGAAAATGTCTTTTGTGAGTATTTTTTCCACCAAAAGTCAAGGTTTTATCTTGTTATCTATGTTTTATAACTATATAGTAAGTTCTTATCTACATGACTTGTGTGTAGGACTTATTTGATTGTTACACCTTAAATGGAATGACTGTTTCATAAAACATGGCCAGAAAGCAGGTGCTCTTGAAGTAAATGATTTCTCAACAACCTCAGTGTGAAGTGGAACAGAAAGGAGTGTTTGTTGAATCTGTGCCATGTGACGGACACTGTACTAACTGTTTGACATTTCATTTCTATGTATAGGGGCCCTTGCAGGGGTGTTCCTTTGCGAGGGGGATGAGGGAAAAAAGGGAAGAGGCTCAGATGATTTCACCTGCTGGGTTGCTACAGACATCAGTCTGGTCGTCCAGTACACCAGTCAGAAGGTGGAGATCTTGTTCATGCTTCTGGTACAGTTTTTCCCTCTAGCTTGACTGCCTTGTTTCTAGAATATCTGCTAGGGTACTTCTTAACTGTATATTTTATATTTCCTCCTTTTGAACTTTGTCCTTCAGCCTCCGTTGGTGTTTACAGTGCTTGCTATCACTTGGTTGCAAATGGTACTTTGTTTGCAGATCATATTTATGCAGTGTGTTTTAGTTCCAATTTTTTTTAACTTAAAAACTTCAGATAATCCAAGGACAGTGCACTTGTTATGCAGAGTTCCAGTCAATAAAATTTAAGTAGGAACTATTTATAACTATAAAGACCTTGGGAGGACCATTCGTCTCTTAAATTCCTTAGTGAAATAAGCTGTAAACCTGTAAAACTCACCCCCCAAGACTAAACACTAGTTCGGCAGGATGTGGGTTTTGCAGTCAGTGTTAGTTAGGTGACTTTGTGGTCAATTCTGGTTGCACAGAAGTCAAGGCCGCTCCAGGTTGATCACATCATTAGATCAGCTGCAGAAGTATCTCATGGCCTAGATTTTAGGTGATACCGATGGAATCATATGATATTTGTCTTTTTTGTGTCTGGCTTATTTATTTCACTTAGCATAAACTTTTCAAGGTTTATCCATATTGTGGCATATATCAGAATTTCACCCCATTGTATGGATATACCACATTTTGTTTCCATTCATCTGTTGATAGAGTCTTGGGTCATTTCTACCTTTTGGCTGTTGTGAATGATTCTTCAGTGAACCTTCATTTACAAATTGTTTGGGTCCCCGCTTTCATTTATTTGGGTATATGTATAGGAATGGAATTGCTGGACAATATGGTAATTTTACGTTTAACTCTTTGAGGTAGGATTGGGTTTCAGTTGCGTTAATTTCAAAGACTCAGAGTAAAATGCCATCTCACTGGAAATCAAGCTGTGGGGTCAATGTTTGTTAACAGACCTATAAGTGACCCCTCGATATCTCACTTAGGCCTTTTACTCTCTAACCTAGAATATTTATTGAGTACAGACTATGTCCTATGCCCCATTTTGGAATAGAGACCAGAGAGAGAGTCTCCTAATCCAGTGTAGGATACAGACAGTTACTTCACAGTATGCAAGTGCTGTCATAAAGGAGAGCACTATTGGGGCGCCTGAGTGGCTCAGCTGGTTGAGCATCCGACTTCAGCTCAGGTCATGATCTCACGGCTTGTGAGTTCAAGCCCTGCATCGGGGTCTATGCTGACAGCTCAGAGCCTGGAGCCTGCTTCAGATTATGTCTCTGTCTCTACCCCTCCCCCACTCATGCTCTGTGTCTCTCTCAAGAATAAATAAACATTAAAAAACAAAACAAAAAGGAGAGCGCTATTATGAGGGAGCCCAGAGAGAAGAGGAATTGTGAAGTCTTTCCCAAAAGACTGAAGATTCCCGACTGAATCTTGAAGGAGTAGGAGCTAGCTGGTTGAAGAAGGGGTAAAATTTCAGAGAATTTCAGAGTATGTCATGTGCAAAGGCCCAGAGAGATGAAAGCATTGAGACATTGAGAAAATTAGAATGGGTTAGTGAACTGAAATACAGGATGTTAGGGAAGGAGATATAGCAAGATGGTGGTAGAGGAGGTGGCAAAGGGTAGATCAGTAAAGTCTTTGTAAGTCATATGGAAGATTCGGGTTTTATTCTGAAAGTAATACAGAGATAGTGAAGGATTTTTTTGTAAAGAAGTGATGTAATAAAAAATATGTTCTGAGGGTACCTGGGTGGTTCACTCAGTTAAGCGTCCAACTCTTGATTTTGGCTCAGGTCATGATCTCACCATTGGTGAGATCGAGCCTCACATCAGGCTCTCTGCTGAGAGCTTGGGGACTGCTTGAGATTCTCTCTCCCTCTCTATCCCTTCCCCCACTCGTGTGTGTGTTCGCTCTCTCAAATAAATAAACATTAAGTATATATATATATATATACATATATATATACATATTTAACATTTATATATGTTCTGTAAGTCTAGGCAGTTAGGCAAATCCCAGCATTCTCTCTTGAAAGGCTGCAGTATGGCAGTGACAATGAAAATGGAGAAGATGGAATGGATTCAGAGGGCATTTAGGAGGTAGAATCAGTAGGACTTCTTGCCTAATGTAGATGGCAAGGAAAAGCAAAGAATGCAGGATGATTGCTAGATCTCTTGAGTTGACCAGCCTCATTTACTGAGAGTAAATTCAAGATGTGGAGGGGTTTATTTGGGTGGAGGCAAGGAGGCAAGACAAAGCAAGATGAATGATGAGTTAATTTTGTTTTGAGTTTAAGGTGCCAATGGACTAGCCAGATGGAGATGTGAGTCTGGATGGAGCTTAGAAGAAATATATGAACTGGAGATCGATGCTTGGGAGCTGTCAGCATACGTAATGGTAACTGAGGGCGTGAGAAATGAGAACACAAGATAGAAGTGTCACTTCAGGGCAGGTGCAGCACAAAAGCTTGGGAAAGAGACAAGCAATGGCCAGGAGGGGTGAGTGGATACACAAAGAGTAGGGACTCATGGAAGCCTAGAGGAGAGTTTCAAAAGGTCAGATTTCACACA